GCCACCCCCGTGGGTGTAAAGGAGGGCTGTGCCCCCTTTTACCCCGAGGGCGGGGAGGGGATCCCTCCGGGCTGCACCCCCCACTGCGATCGGGGTTCCCGTGGGATGCACAGCATCCCCGGTGGGTGATGGGGTCCATGCTGCACCCCTAATGGGCAGGCGATGGGGTTTCCCAGTGGACCAGGCCTGCATCCCAGCAAGGGCTATCTGGGGCCTGTGCTTGGTCGCAAAGGGCTTGATGTTGGGGTTCCCTCTCAAGCGTCGGGATGGTGGGGTGAATCCTGAGCTGGGACTTGCCAGTTGTGGGGTGATTCCGTCCCCCTGTGCTGTGGCCGGGTTCCCTGTGTTGGATGGACCCTCCCCCCCATCTCCATGTCTCGGTGCCTACAGCTAGGGCAGCGTGAAAGGCATCCAGGCGGAGTTGAGCAATGTTAGCTGTGTCACTGTCCCTACAGGCAGGAGAGCCCTTTGGGGTGCAAAATGGAAGGCATTTCCATTGGGGACGTTGTGGTCCCAGGCCCTGCAGGTGGAAGGTGCTAATCCTGATCTGTTGCCTCCGGTCTGCAGGGGCAGGGGCTCAAGGGTCTGCTTTCTGCGTGGACACAGGGACGCTGCTGCCACAGTACTCAGGCTCCTTCCCCGAACCCAGGCCCAAAGGGCCTCCTTGTGCTGGCTGTGGAGCAGTGTTTTCACCTCTCCATGGAGGCGGACCTGTGCCCAGAGAGGTGTTGATGGCCGTGGTGATAAATGCAGTCAGACAGGCTGGAGCTGGGTGTAGTCGGAGCCGCACCATGGGGGCGAGCACCGTAGGGACAGCTGTGCTATGGCTATGGCTGCATCTGGGGCTACCTGGCTGGTAGAAGCCCTGTGGCCGTCACTGGGGAGAGCTCAGGGCCTGGAGTATGCCTCCTTCAAATCCTCCTCTTTTGCAGCAGCGGGGCCCCCTGCATGGGCCTGGCCTTTTGACCCTGCGGTGCAGCTCTCGGTCTTCTCTGGGGCTGGGGGGCAGATGGGGCTGTACCCCAGCTGTGGGTGTCAGTGGTACCTCGTTCCCAGCCCTAACCTCACAGCTTGTCCCAGAGGCATCCCCTGAGGTGGGCTCTCAAGGACCTCGGTGTACATGCCTGCTGTCCTCTCCTGGTGGAGCACACTGCAGTTTCTGTCCCTGGCAGGGCTGCCTTCCCTTTGCAGCCCTGCACTGCTGGGCACTCAGCCGACAGCTTTGGG